CTTCCTCCCTCCCTCCTTCCTTCCTCCCTTCTTTCCTCCCTCCCTCCCTCCTTCCTTCCTCCCTCCTTTCCTTCCTCTCTCCTTTCCTCCCTCCCTCCTTCCTTCCTCCCTCCCTCCTTCCTTCCTCCCTCCCTTCTAAAGGTTGTCTCATCCTTCCGTCTTCCCGAGGTGGGTAAAATGAGGAGCCGGATTGTTGGGGGCAAGAGGCGGACTCTAAACCACTTAGAGAGGGCACTAAAACACTGTGAAGTTTTCTTGAAGACATTTCATTACCCAGCCAGGTAACACCTTCAGTGCTAGAAGGTGAAAACCTCACTCCCTTCTAGCACTGATGTTACATAGTTGGGTAATGAAAACGTCCGCAAGAAAACTACCAAGGTGCTATTCAGTAGTGGGATCCTCCTACCTTAGCCGCTATGGGTTCGGTAGGCGATTGCCTGTGCGCGCATGCTTGCACACACACACACACACACACACACACCCCTAACGCATGCGCCCCTAACAAGCCAATCAGCTGAGAGGTTGAAGAAACGAAAAGCTAGAAGTGACCTTCCCACCTCTCCCATTGCGCTTTTCAGCCTTTTATCTTCTCGGGCCTTTTTTTCACTACCGGTTTGGTCGAACCGGTTCAAACCGGTACGATGCCATACACCACTGGTGCTATTGCTATTGCTATCCACTGAAGAGGTGAGCAACCAAGTTAGAAAGCGGAAGGACTAGAAACATGACAAAACCAGGCAAGGCTGCAAATAAGGGGAGAACCCTTTTTCTTTTAGCCTAAATTCCAAGATCTCCACAACCAGATGGGTTGCATCCAACGGTCCTGAAGGATCTGGCTGAAGAAAAGCAACCAGGGTAACTTAAAAGGCCTAGGGCCGTGCTGACGAACCTGTGGCACGTGTGCCGCAGGTGGCACGCAGAGCCATTTGTGCGGGCCCGCGAGCCCCAGCCCAAGTTACCTGCACTACGCATGTGCAGCTGATTTTCGGCCCATTTGAGGCCGTTTTCAAGCTCCTGGAGGCTCGAGGGAAGCCTCTGCAGCCTTGGGAGGCTGAAAAATGGGCGTTCTGGAAATACCAGAAGTGCCAAAACGGGCCTGTTTTTCAGCCTCCCGAGGCTTCCCTCGAGCCTCCAGGAGGGCGCAAACGGCCTCAAACGAGCCAAAACTCAGCTGAGAGGTGTGCGCATGCGCAGTGCAGGTAAATGGGCGGGATGGGGTGCTGTGCGTACCTACGCGGGGGGGGGCAGGGCACATTGCGTTGTGGGTGCCGGCACGCAGACGCTTTCGGCACACCACAACACAAAGTTTCGCCATCAGGGGCCTAGGGGCTAAAACATACAAAGAACGGCTGCAGGATTTGACCAATCTAGAGAAAAGAAGGACTAAGGGTGATACAATAGCACAGTCTTCCAATATTTGAGGGGCTGCCCCGAAGAAGAAGGGGTGACCTTATTCTCCAAAGCACCTGAAGGCAGGAGAAGAAGCAACAGATAGAAACTAATCAAGGAGAGAAGCAACCTGGAATTAAGGAGGAATTTCCTAACAGGGAGGACAATTAACCAGCGGAACTGTTTGCCACTAGAAGTTATGGTTGCTTCATCGCTGAAGAGACTGGACAGCCACTTGTCTGAAATGGCACAGGGTCTCTCCTCCTTGAGCAAGGGGTTGGACTAGAAGATCTCCAAGGAATCTTTTCTTCTCCAAGGCAACTTGTCCAGCTGCAGGCTTCTTTGTGGCGGCCATTGCTGACCGCCGCTCCACCGCCTTGGGAAAAGGGGGTTTAGCCGGCTGGAGAGGGGGTCTATGACACCCCCAAACCCCTGCCCGAATCCCCCCTATCTTCAGCTGCCTCTACGGGCCAGCTATATCCTCCAAATCCATCTGGATCGGAGGCACCAAGGCAGCGAGCGCAGCAGGAACCGCGCGGAATCGCGGATCCCTGCCGCCGCCGAAGCCTGGCGAGCCGGAAGTCCGAATTACATTCTACGTTTAGTTTGTTTATGTATTGTTTCTTAAAAATTAATAAAATTTGTTTTTTTTTTTTAAAAAAAAAGACCTCCAAGGTTTCCTTCCAGTTCTATTATACTGACTTACCGTTACTGTGATTTCCTGTCTGGAGGGAAGGAGTCGGCTGCAAAGTGTTTCCCAGCGTCCCATAGCTGCGGTAGCTGTAGTTCAGGCTCCCGTTGATGTAGACGGGGTCTTGGGAGAAGGAGGAGGCTGGCAGTGAGTAGGACGAATGCGTGACGGAGGTGGACGAGTCCCGGGACTGCTGCTTCTCGAGGGTAACTGGTTCGTCCTGGCGGGAGAGAACGAAGGGGGGGCAGGTTGTGTCAGGGGCAAAGAGAAGCGTTAAGGGTGCAGCGTGCGTGTCAGAGCTGCCATCTTCAGCTTGGCGCCTTGCTGGCATCCTGTCATTAACTGATGGAGGGGGGAGGGGAAACAGGGAGGAGGGATGGTAGCGGGTGACAGATAGCAGAGGTGTGAGAAACCAGCCAAATTCCAGCCTTCAAGGCCACGAAGTTTTGGGAAAGGAATGCAAATTGCACCAAACCTCTTGAGTATTCCCCAAAACACGGATGTGGCACACCATTGGTCTACGCCGAACTTGTTAAGGGGAAGGGAGGGCTGTGATGAAGGGGAAACATTTGTAATATTTTGTGTTGTGGCTCGGAGGTTTGAGCCTGCTTTGCTAGAGGACGGAGACTTGGACAATGAGGAAGAAGAGGAGGATTTGGCTCTGAGGTTTGAGCCTGCTTTGTTAAGAGGATTTGGAGTTGTCTTCCTCCCCAGGACTTTCCTCTTCGGCAAGGCCTTCCTCCCTGATTGTGCCTCAGGTGTCGGCAGATAACCAGGAGAGCGTATCAGAGTCTCTGACTGAAGATCAAGCTGAGGAATGCTGGCTTGATGCGAGGCAACGGTGCAGGAAGAAGTGCGAGTTGCAACGCAGAAAGAAAGGACGAATCAGAGACTGAGATGAGGGACTGACACGCCACACAGGGTGTTAGGAATAACATAGGTTACCTAACGTAGTTTGGGTAAAATAATATATATAAACTATGATTGTAAGTTTAAGTGTGTGTTTAAGAGGGAGCAAGAGAACCTGCTGGATTGCTGACGATTGCTGGTTGATGTTTTGCTAACTGCCTGTTCCCTGCTGCTGAAGGAAGAGAGGAGGTTTGACTTCTTCATATCTCTACTGCGAGGAGATATAGTACTGGACTGATATTTGTAAGTTTACTGACCTCTCTTTTTCGACACTGGACTTTGCAACTGAATAATCCCCGGACGGACTGAATTAATGATAGATATATGGACTGTTTTGACTATGCTAAAACTCTTACTGGAATAAACTATTTAACTAGCACAGTGTATCTGTTTTACTGAGTGTAGGCTACAAAAACGTTTATCTCACATATTTTGCCTGCCTGCCTGCCTGCCGTGCAGATTCTGCTAGGGTGCATCCCTAACACAGGGAATAAAAATGAGCGTGTTCGCTCTTGTGTGAGACTGCCAAGAACCTTATCGGCTTAAGGAATTTAACCCTGAAGTTACTGGACTTGCTTGCTTGTTTGTTTTCAGTTGGGAATTGGGACTTCTCACCTCGTTGGTACAGGTGAAACGTAACAATTTTGCATGGGGACTTTGCTTTTAGAGCAACCAGTAATCCTTCGTAAGAGAACCTATCACTTCAACCAAATGGGAGTCGAGGGTCTTTCTTTCCTGGAGAACCTAGCCGGGGCAGGTCTGACAGTATATGGAAGATAGCGATTGTACCACCCCAGGAGGCTGGAAACGTCATAAATACAGGTAGTCCTCCACTTACGATCACAACTGAGCCCAAAGTTTGTGTCGCTAAGTGAGACAGTTAAGTGAGCTTTGCTCCATTTTATGACCTTTTTGCCCCAGCTGTTAAGGGAATCACTGCAGTTAAGTTAGTCACACAGTTGTTAAGTAAATCTGACTTCCCCATTGACTTCGTTTGTCAAAAAAGCGAATCATGTGACACCCCCCCCCCGACTTTTTTTTAGTGCTGTTGTAACTTCGACAGTCACTAAATGAACTGTGGTAAGTCGAGGACTACCTGTACGTGCCAGTTGCCGAGTGCCTGAATTTTCATCATGTGACCCCGGGAACGTTGTGCAATCATAAGTCACTATTTTTAGTGCCATGGAGAACGGCCGCTAAAGAAGCGGCTGTACGTTGAAGATGCTATTATACTAGAGTCAGTTTTAGGAGCGAAGTCGGGTGAATATAAACTCTGATTATGCTAAGTGTTTGAAACAAACAGCATATAGAATCAAGAATGGGACCCAGTGTCTTTTTGCAAGCAGCAAAGGGGTAACCTGTCCCAATACTCAAGGCCAGCAAATAGCCCGATTCCGAAACCAGTGAACCTAATCAAGGGTAGGACCAGGCCCTTGCTGCAAGTGGTAAAGAGGTAACCGGATACTCAAGGCCAGCAAATAACCCGATTCCGAAACCAGTGTACAG